TGCTCTCCACGAAACCATAAGAGGAAGACTGGTAGGCTAATTAATAAGCCCATATAAGTAATTATCAAAAGAGGCGCCAAGCCGGGGAGACTATGTAGTAGCTATGCACAAAAAGAAGGCAGATTCTTTTTACAAATCTTTTAACTTAGGCTGTCTAGTGACCATACAACTTTTTTTTTTTAGTAATTTCAGACTACAGTATAACCCTTGCACTGAATTTTGTTAACCTGCTTATCCCCTTTGTCGATGTCAAAATTTGGAAAAATAATTACTAAATATGGTTGGAACAAAGGCAGTGCCTGATGAGCAAGGATGTGATGGTTATATAGAGCTGTGGGCCTCGAGGGAACAGGCTTAGAGTAACTTAAACTCAACACGGGTAAACTAGTCATCCTTAAAATTACTACTGTATTTACATATACTAGACTTTAGGTAGTAACACATGTAACCACTTCGCAATACCTGTACTATTTAGGTAGGACGGGAAGCATTGTTTAGGAAATTAGTTTAATTAGCATTCAACCTTAAACTTTAACTATAGGTTAAAACTACAGTTGGGGTTACACTTCATTTAGGGAGTGTTGATGGTCCCCTTGTGTAGGTCACGCGGCCTGATGCACGTGCGTATATTGATCCCAGTGCGTTCCTCCCACTCGCCGCCGCCCGCCCTTCCTCTCCTCCCCACCCGGGGCTATCCTCCCATGCCCCCTGTTGCCCGCCTGCCAGCGCCAGACTACTGCACACAAAGACCTGCCGTCCACGTCTGCGCTAGGATGCTCCTACTCCCTCTACCCTCCCGCGCACTATTGCCAAGCACTGCTTCCACAGCTTTTCTTTTTGTAATACAACATACTTTTCCTCACCTTAGGATTAATATTGAATAATCATTTGTATTGTCAAGATTCCGTCCTTTATATTTGTCAATTGCTGAGAATATTCCATAATTTCCCCACATTGCCTTGCATAGCCGATTGCCACAGTTCTTTGTTTTGAAAGATTGGATGTTTAATATTATGTGGTAACTACTTAGGAAGAAGGGATTGCGACCTGCTCCAGGCTCAGTAGCCAAGCACCAAGGCACCAGACCTCCTTCCTTTAAACCTCTATTGATTTTGGAATGTCTCAATAATCATTAAAATTGCCACAAATTTTCCACTGCTATTTGGAAAATGTGGGGTTTCTGTATTTATCCTGTCCTGTTCATTCTTTTGGTTCTTACAGTTTCTATCATATTTAGGTATATCCTCAAAGTTTTGTGGTGGCAAGCATTAAGAGGAAGGAGTCTATCCTTTATGAGTCATTCACATAGATTAGAAATAGGATTGGCCCTGATACTGGAACAAAAGTGGACGTATTCGTGAAGTGCTGGTCGAACTGTGCTGGCTGTAGTGAATATAATAATAAATCATTGTGTCGGGATACAGGAAGCCAGGTTATACAGTACATACATTACATAAACCAGGCCCCCCCCCTCCCTAGGATGCAAGATACAGTATATACAGTACACATGGACTTTGCAAAAGCATTTGATAAATGTGACCATGGAGTGATTTTCCAAAACTGACTGCTTTTTTATTTATTTTGCATATATGAAGATTTTTTCTTTATCTTGAATGACTTTCTGTTCTAATTACATTTCTTCGATCTGATATGATTGCTTTAGTATGTTCTATTTATTCAATTGTTTAAATTATTCTTTCTTTGTAGGGTTAGTCGTATCTGCTTAAGCAATTCCGTTACTTTTCCTTCATCTGTAGTGCCATCTGCATTCATTCTAAGCTGGTTCTTTCTGGCTTTCTGCAAAGGGACCTGTTTCAGACAGATTTTGTTATGCTTCAGCAGTCTGTTGTTCTATCCTGGCACAGTATTTGTATTATTTAGAACAGTTCCCCATTGAATATTTGCAAGTTCAATTTTAATTTTTTCGTAGTCTTGTCCTTTTATTATTAAAATGTATTTTTTTAATAATGCCTCTCACTTCATCTTTATTTTTTTTAGATCTATTATGGGTATTTGTTAGTGTACACTTCAATGAGCTTATAATTTATGTGGTATTTGATATTGTTCAAGCCCATTGAACATTAGGGACATAGTAATGCCCCCTCTGATTATTTCTTCATTGTTTATGAAGATCAAATCTAGAACACTACCAACAATTTGGTGGTGTTCTAGATTTAGAACACCAACTAGTTCTAGATTTTTCAACCCTAGTGAGCTGGTGAAAAAAAGAATACATTCTCTATGTATACACTTGTCATAAATGGATAAATTATAAACCACTTTATAGTTATATTTATTAATATCTATGATGAGTTACTGCAGGGCTGAATTTGACTCACCTTCTAACCTACAAGAAAAAATTACAGCACTTACTGATTTATATAAGAAGTAATATACAGTACCAATTCTCAATTGATTAAAAATTAAAACATTGCCCTTTTTACAAGTAAAACTGCAAATAATTTAGTTCCTTTGTTCCATGATGTTTATCATCAAAAACCCGGAACATCAAAGTGTAAACTATAAAAACTAAAAATGCTGAGAATAATTTTATCTAAAGATAATTCATGTAGCCAAAATGAAAATCTTACCAGAATTAAAATAACTGCACAACTCCCATGGCTGTCAAATGAAGAAATGACCCCAGCATTAAAAAATATATTAAATTCCTAATCAATCTAAAATTATAGCTCAATAATAAAAAGTAAGGTTGGAAGAACTTTATTTGTCGAGTATCTGAAGGCTATATGACTAAAGTGATGTTGAACTATATTTGCAAAGGCCCTACTTTACTTGGCTCTTATTCTTCACATAGCCCAGCATTAAATTGTTAGATGGTTAGATATGGTTAGCTTAAGGAATAAGCCAGATGAAGCTTGTGCCTTGGTGTGTTCCATTTACCAGCCTAGTATGCTATAGTTGGCGTCTTCAATGGAGAGTGTATGTGTGATATCAGATGATGGTAAAAGTATGCTGTCCACACTCCTGGCAGCATACAAGGTGTTAATGAGGAGACAAACACACCACAACTGCCTCTTAACTTAGTGTGTTGCTCGGAGGTAAACAGCGTGTTGTATGTTGGCAAAGATAAGTGAGGTTACTATATTTGATGCATTTTTGGCTGTTTTTTTTTTCAGGGAGATTGGTTATGAGAGGGTACATTGGCTTTGTTCTGCTCTGTACTGGTTGTTGCAGCATTGCTGTCTTATGTACAGTACTGTAATTTGTAACTGTTGGGGTGTACTGGTAGCTGTGACTTTGGTATGTGTGTGTGGTTCACTACAGTACCTGTATGCTGATTCCAGTGTCAAGCATTCCCTCTGTTCCACCTTCTGAAACTGCCTTTTTTTTTTAGCTCTAAAACAATATTTAGCTCTTCTTCCAAGCTATATTTCTGTTTGTCATTCTGTCTGTAGTGTTCTGTGCCTTTCACATGAAAATCTGAGCAAGGAAAGTCACAGTACAGTAGTTTCTTTAGGCTTTGCACATGACTGGGTGGAAATATCTATACTATATGTTGATCTAAAACTACATTTTCCCTTCCTAAAAAAATAATAATAATATTGAGCGCTTACACAAATTGCTGCTGTCCTGGAGAACAGCCTCTTTGAACAGCCTGGTTGAGCAAATCACCAACCAGGAGGCCTAGTCTGATACCGGGCTACAGGGACGTTGATCCTCGGAATCATCATCAAAAAGTAACATTTAGAGAAATGCTGCCCAAATCAATTCAGTACTTAATTAGTACTGCTTAAAATACTGTATACCTTAAACTGAGAGACTGGTTGGATCCAAAGTTGGACACTTGAAATATTTTCTTAGGGGCTTGGATCTAATCGAAAAGTAGGGGTACATGTAATAAGCATTCTTATGGGTCAATTTTGTAAACATTAAGAACCATGCTCAACCTGATTGAACACTGTTGAACAAGAGGCCTGGTTACGTACTGGGCTATGGGGACAATGATCCATGGAACCACCTTGGGGCAGATTTATAGTACTCTTATTAGGCCTCATTTCAATTACTGTATACAGTTCAGGTTTTAGTACCTTACTAAGCAATAGACAGTTTCTTTAGGAAGTGTACTGAAAAGGATGACAACGGTAATCTTGAACATTAGAAGCGTCGCATATGAAGGAAGATTAATTCAAAAATAAATTTTAATTCTGTAGGCAAGTGAAGAGTTAAATGGGAACAAGAGCGAAGCACAAGACAATTTATGACTGGATGATTTTTATAAGGCACTAAATGTAGACAGTACTGAATATGAAAAACAGAATATAAAATAATTTGTATTTTTTTGGGTTTCCACATAAAAGTAATGGAAATTTAGGCAATGTGAAGTAACTAGGAAAGATTACTGAAACAAATTCTGGCCACATTGTTGGGCAGACATCTTTACAAAATTATAATTACAAATCAATTTTGTCATATACACTGCACATCTCCTGTGCCAGGTGAGTACGATGGGCTCACCATAGCCTGTGCTGCTTGTAACGTTTTTTTCAGAGTAGCTGAATCTAAAACAATGAAACAAGCCACATGCAGATATGTTTATGCAAACTGTGGCACTGTTGACTCATAATGCAGAAATTATTACAAATTAGGGCCCAAGTGTATGTTGTAATTTAAGAAATCAAATATTATATCAATAACCTATTTGCAGAAATTAACAGATTTACATGATAGTGGGTAACTTAAATTTAGTTAATTAATGTTTATACTATTCCTACCAAAGAAATCAAACCCTCACAACACGGCCAACACCCAACACTCATTGCTATTAAATAAAAAAATAAAAAGTGTCTTAAATATGTTGAATACTGGTTACATATTCAGACCGCCCATGGATGAGACAGTAATAAAAACTGGGTTGATGTGAATGCATTGGACAAAGTTTAGTTAGTAGATAGATGCATTTGTTTTTGTTTTCAGATGCGAAGGGCATTGCTGAAAGTGTTTATAATGTGTATAATTTAAATTAATATATGTTTCTTCAGAATGTGGATCACAAGATGAAGTACAAGAGTAAGAAGGGCCAACTACCCTTTGTGGAGGTGAATGGTGAAGAGATAGCAGATTCTGCCATTATCATCAAAGAACTGGGCAGTCGCTACAATGCAGATTTGGACGGTGGACTCACCCCTGAGCAGCGCAATGTTGCCCATGCCACAATCTCTATGATAGAAAATCACTTTGCATGGTAAGTTTATATGTTTTATCTCCTTGAGGCATTGGAAATTGCTTCGAGGTACTGCTAATGCTTGTAAGAGATTGGTGCTAGCAGTCTGCACTAGGCACCTTAGTTTACCAGAGGACTGGTGGCCTCAATGAGAACAGGAAGCCGGGGGCTCGTCGAAGGTCTTGTTCTGGGAAAGTTGAATTATTTATTTATACACATGTATATAGTTACAAGAAGGTACAATGATACATAGCATTGATGTTTTTATATTCGTGTAAAGCCACTAATATGCATAGCGTTGCGGGCGGGTCTTTAATCCAATAGATAATTTTAAGTAGGTAATTTGTAGCAAAATTGAAAAAAGTTATCAGGTACATTGTAAGAAAATTAATAGGTAAATTTTAGTAAAAATTGAGGCTTATCGACAGGTACATTGTAGCATAATTTGAGGATTATTTCTAGGTACATTACAGTAAAATTTGCATTCAACATAACAACCATGATATAAGATGATGACAGTGATTACAACGGTGAAGTTATATGGCATAGGCACATTTTGGAGTAGTACAATGCAAGTGTGAAGGTCTGGTGGATATGGATCATATGCTAGTTTCTAAAGTAATTACAGAACAGGTGGTACAGTATACGTATTCACACCCTAACCCTGTAGTTTATGAAATATGTTGAATAGAGGCTTTTGGTTTCCCTTACTTTTAATATGGATCCCCATGAGGGGATCCCCATGGGGGGATGAGCACCTCTACAGGATCATGGAGTGTTGTGCTGATGGGGTATCTTATTTGGATGGATGTTGGTCCATGGGGCACCACTATTTAGATGGATCCTGGATCCATGGAGCTGCTGTACCATTTAGATACAGAAATACAGTATAGAAAAACCTTTTTATACAATTCAGGTTAATGTATCGTGTGAAATTGGGTAAATACTGGGGCTACTGCAGTGTAACATCCTATGGGATTAGATCCAACATTTCTGAAATCATATACTGTAACATATAGTACAGTACAGTATACTGTAAGATGAGCTACATCTTGTAATTGTAGCAGATATTATTGTTTCTGCACTTGTAAGGATGCTCTGTAAGTTTGGAGGTAAGCTTCAAGGTAAGTTATATATGTAAGTTAGCTATCAAAGGTTTTCATGATTATAACCAGTTATTTTCTTGTCTCCCCCATTTCAAAACAGATGACATGTCAGAAATAGATTTACAGATATCCCAAACACAGTAACACATCTACATTACTGGGAGAGTCTTAAAGAACTTCAAATATACTTCCTTAAATGATAGAGATATCACAATCTGTACATAAGCAATTCTATATAATCAGCTTCCTAATCTGCACAATAGTGCTGTAAATTATTAGTATGAGGGATTTGATAGGAAGTTTATAATTGTAATGGTTACTGAATGCTACCATTGTAATAACCCTTCTGAAAGCTTTCCCTCTACTCATTCCTCACTCAATACCCCAGTTTAACACTGTTACAGTCACTGAATTTCCACGAATATAAGCTAAATATTAAATGAGGAGGACACAACAAGAATATAGGTTATTAATTTAAATACTAGTAATTAACAACTCTGCCACACCTGACACCACCTTCCCGATCTACCATACCTGAATGTCTATTTTTTTGGGGGTGGGGGGGGGGGAAGGTATCGAGTGAAAAAGGGTAGAAAGAGAGAAGGAAAGATTCATTCAATGGTAGCTTTCAGAACTATTACAGAATAGACCCAGTGAAGGTGCCATAAACACAATAAAACCCCATTGCGTAGAGATTGAATGAAGCTGCATACAGAATCAACACAAGGTACTGATATATAAATGCTTTTGTGTGTGAACGTATCCTCCACGCTACTCGTTCGCAACATGTGGCAACTTTAGCTACAGGCCATTATGCTTCAGCTGCCGTGACCACTTCCGGCCTTCTTCTCATCTTTGTGACTTCCGGTCACATAATTTTTTTTTTATCCTGTACTTCAGAAATGCTGTACAGCAGTCACACTAGGTGGTCTGCCACTACCCAGCATTTTGTCATAAAATGTGCGATCCTTGAAAGTTAGGCAAACACGTATTCTTGTTGGCTCATCAGTACGGTACTTTTTTTTTTTTTAAACAGCCCATCAATGAGAAAGTAGCTCATCGTCCATACAAATAACTGTATAGCCCATCCAAATAGTACACTCCTATCCATCCTTATTTCTCCTCCATCACTCAGTCATTTCTTCCGTTTTCTACGACCTCCTCCCTTTCTTCAGTTTAATTCCTCCAGCAAACTCCTTCCAGCAAACAATCTCTCTCCCATTTGTTTCCCCAACTCACTCCCTCCCGTTTGTTGCCTCCAATGCCCCTCCCCAATGGATGGGGCCTCGTAGCCTGGTGGAGATGGGGCCTCGTAGCCTGGTGGATAACGCGCAGGACTCGTAATTCTGTGGCGCGGGTTCGATTCCCGCATGAGGCAGAAACAAATGGGCAAAGTTTCTTTCACCCTAAATGCCCCTGTTACCTAGCAGTAAATAGGTACCTGGGAGTTAGTCAGCTGTCACGGGCTGCTTCCTGGGGGTGGAGGCCTGGTCGAGGACCGGGCCGCGGGGACACTAAAGCCCCGAAATCATCTCAAGATAACCTCAAGATAACCTCCCCGTTTACGGAATACTACAATTTCTTAGGGCTCATTCTGGATGCTAATAACAGTGTCAACACATAGGCCGAGCGACGTCAGCGGAATGTGAACCACTGAGGGATTTATCAAGGGAGAGATTAGAGGTCAAGCTTCAACCTCGGTTGGTTCATTAACCAATTGTGTGGCAGACAGCTAAAGGCATTAACAGAGTGGATGATGTAGTGAACTGTACAGCTTGATACCGTTGATACCGTATTAACTGATAACTATATTAAATTATGAACCATTATATAGTGTAAATATCAGTGATCCACGACTTCAACCTTCTATCAAGAAATATAAGAAATATCGCTGTAGCAAGAGTGGAAGCAGTCTAAGAGAAGCGGATAACTTTCTGGCTCTGCGAGCTACTAAGACTTAAAACACCATTCTAGAGCAGACAATCATTAGGGAATGCTGGGATAAAAGTTATCTAAATGGTCCACAGGTAGTTCTGGTAAGCTAGCTGTGGCGGAAAGTGCAGTGTGGTGTGCAACTTGATGCTTGGCAGGGTAACCTCATCAGCTGTGGCTGGCTGCCGTGGTTACCATGGAAACGTGAGCAGCACCGCCGTGGTAAGCAGCGGTGACACACACACTGCCCAACATGCTACCCGACCCCATGGTCTGTCTGGCCCTCCTCCTCCACCACCCTCACGACAAAGCTCCTCTCCTTCCCCTCCCTAGCCCCACCCGACCTGTACTCACCTAGTTGTGTTTGCGGGGGTTGAGCTCTGGCTCTTTGGTCCCGCCTCTCAACCGTCAATCAACTGATGTACAGATTCCTGAGCCTACTGGGCTTTGTCATATCTACATTTGAAACTGTGTATGGAGTCAGCCTCCACCACATCACTTCCACCTGTTAACTCCCTCCACTACCTGTCTGAGGTCTCATCCCCTCTCTTCGGAAGTGCCACACTCCCTCACGGTGATTTATTTGGCAACTAAAAAACTAAAAGATTATTTGTGGTCTTGTAACTCTGTGAATTAGCCCAGTTGTAAAAACTTGCCTTATAACAACATACTTTTCCTCAGTTTGCGAGGGGGGAGCTTGTATACAAGTCGAACTGACAACTCATTTGTTTTCCTGGGGGAGGCTGAGAGGGAGGGTGTCAGGATTTCATTATATTAGGTACCGATTATATTAGTACCTCTGAATGGTTAAAATCATGCTTCACAGGTGAGGGTGTTGGCAACTTGCAGGTGCAACTATGTCCACAAAACTGGAGTGATCAGTCACCTCCCCCAGACTGAGACCTGGGGGGGGGGAGAGTTTAACGGCAACTGTAAGTTTACTCGACTGGCTCTGTTGTCCGACTGGAAACTCCCCCCACCCCCTTTGTTTCTTTTATATATACTGTTATAACAAAACAATTAAGCTTGGGTCCTTGCTGAAGGTTTATTAGGAGTGGGGTATTACCAAAGTGGTTGGTGTAAGGGGGGATTGTCTTGGTGGCTGGTGTTGGGGAGGGGGAATTGTCTTGTGGCTGGTGTTGGGGAGGGGGAATTGTCTTGTGGCTGGTGTTGGGGAGGGGGAATTGTCTTGTGGCTGGTGTTGGGGAGGGGGAATTGTCTTGTGGCTGGTGTTGGGGAGGGGGAATTGTCTTGTGGCTGGTGTTGGGGAGGGGGAATTGTCTTGTGGCTGGTGTTGGGGAGGGGGAATTGTCTTGGTGGATGGCGTTGGGGAGGGGGTTGCCTGGTAGTGGCTGGTGGCGCCATGTTTCCTGGTGGATGGTCTTAATACTCGTCGTGGACCAGGTTTCAGCAAGCATTGACGCATCTGCTTATGAGCCTGAACGACAATTTTCAGTCTTTTCCGGCTTTGTTAACAATTGTTAAACAGTTTGAGCTCTGAAGTCTTAGAAGAAAGTTTCGATGCTAGTAAACTATTTAATAAATATAAATAAAGCTGCCAGAGCTTGAGAAATGATGTGCAGTGTTTGTAAGCAGATGATTGTTGAATCCTGGTCCAGGGCCTTATGAAGGAAGGCTTCAGGCGATCGGAAAGTTGCCTTCGTAGTGGGTGTAAAATTACCGGAAACAAGCGGGAGACTCACTTTTCTAGTCTGTGTGGCCGAGTCTAAATCACTCCGTGTTTGTTTGGTCGGAGCGATATTTAAGATAGAGAATTTGAAAATGATTCTGATATATAAAACATGCATCATATTCCTGGTGTATATGGGTTGGTAATTATTTTACACTGTTAGTGACACAAGTAATTTTAAGTATCAAAATGTCATTTGAATGGAAACCCGGTTTGTTGGGCTGTCACGGGTGTTAATAAATCTGGAGCATTAGCAAAGTGATTCTTGATTATGGTCTTATCAGATCTTAAAA